ACACACACACACACACACTCACTCACTCACACACACACAGACTCACATAGACACACACACACACACACTCACTCACTCACACACACACACACTCACTCACACTCACACAGACTCACATAGACACACACACACACAGTCACACTCACATAGACACACACACACAGTCACACTCACATAGACACACACACTCACACAGACTCACACACACATCTGATGTTTGCTGTAGAGCAGATGGACCTGCTGCAGCAGAAGGCAAAGGTCCTCTTTACAAAGATCAACATAATCACACAATCAGACTCACACACAAGGGTTAAAGGCAGGAAGAAATCAGAGATTAATACATCTGGATCTGTATTTACAGTCATGCAGACGGCAAAGCAGCACAGAGCACGCTGAAGTAGAAAATCAGGTAAAGTTCACTGTGTTTGCAAGCCTCAGCTCACTGTAGACACACATAGCACTTAGTAGCATTAAAGTGTCACATTATAATAATAATCCTCGTCTGATGATAAAGACAACATCCCTCCATCTGTTCTTTTCTTTATTTCTGTTGTTTTTCAGGGCAGATCAACACTGAGAGGAACTGCCTCCTCTTCCTGTCGTCCCATTCCCACGTCCTGCTTCAGTCCTATCGTGACCTTTGACCTGCGCATTTCTCTCTGTCTCTAAAAAGACACACACACACACACTGGAGTGGAGGAGGATGGTGTGTTGGACACTGAGCATGTCTTTTCTGGAAAATTTGCTGTCATTCTGAAGACATTTACAAACACTCACAGACACAAATATCTCTGGGGATTCAGAGGCCTTAGAGATTTATACCAAACACCGTTTTTCCCGTCATTTTCTACATGCAAGTGAACAGTAACACACTGCTAGTAAAGATTTTGATCACCCAACATATTTTTTTTAGTCTCAGTGGAGTGAAGAGGAACTTTGAAATTTACAGTATGTGTCACAATGCACTCTTATCTCAAAAGATCAAAAGGAAAATGTGCTGACAAAAAATCATAACACGATATCAATACTTGTATCCTGTTCTGTAAATATGCAGTGAAGACCATACATGTTTATGTATTTGAGTGTGTGTGTGCGCGTGTTTGTGTGTTTGTGTGTGAGTGTGAGTGTGTATATGTGTGTGTGTGTGTGTGTGTGTGTGAGAGAGAGTGTG